ATAAATACCATCATCATATCATCATGATCATCATGATTTATCCAAAATTCCTAACTTTGAAATGTTAAATAAGTTGAGGTGTAGTCAAAAGTAGTCTTTTACAAAAGATAGTCTAAATATTCTTATTTTCAAATTAAACTTTATTTTTCAATTAGCTGTGATTCCAGATTATCCCAGTAATAGTATCAGTGTCACCTATTTCTATTCTTGTGTCTTCTTTGGTGAGAAAGAGCTGGAATTACATAAAGAAAGAATCATCAGTATATACATAGGAATAAATTTCTTATGTGAATACCACTTCTTTAGTTTTAATTGGGAAGGGGGAACCTAATCCAGTAAAATAATTTGGAATAGTTACCATATGCTGAAAAGTAAAATAATTGTAACCAATTTCAAACACACACACACAAATGCCACGAGCACTGACAGATAGACTGGTACTTGAAATACTTCATCTCTGAAGAAAACCTGTGTTTTCAGGCTTGATCAAATGAATTTGCTTAAGAGATGACATTATTAGAGACTATTTTAACTATGCCCTGCTTTTAAAGGCATAATAATTTCATGATGACTATGGAGTGGTTTTGAAAACAGATGAATTGAAAATGAATATGGCCATTCCGTGACAGAAGTCTAACAGGAACTCTCTAAATGGCCTCCTGTAGAACTTAAAACAAAAAGAAAAGTAATAGAGAAAGTGAATGTTTCATTCTAGAAGAGCATGGAAAAAGAAGAAGAGGAAAAGAAAGCCCAGCTTGAACTGTCTGATAATATTAACAGTACTCTGACAGAACGTTTGCAGCTCATTGAAGGGCATGTATTTTCTAATGAAGTGTTTACCATATTGTCCAGTATTCCTGAGGCTGAAAAATTTGCTAAATTTTGGGACTGCAAAGCAAAGCTGTTGGCAAGTAAAAGGCACCTTTGATGTTATAGGGCTATATGAAGAGGCCATTAGAAATTGGGCCACACCGATCCTGGAATTACGAGAAGTTCTTTTTTTTTTTTTTGTGATCCTCAAACCCAGTCACCATTTGGATTCTCTGCCTCTTTCTCTGCAGTCAGAACAAGAATATGTTCCCGGAAAAGGAGCCTAAAGCTCATTTGTAAGGTTTTTCCTGCTTGGATTTTTTT